ATTTTAGGCATCTGTCCATCCCGTTTTGCTTCTTTCTTTCATTGCGCAGTGCAGGCTTAGATACTAGGGGTACTCTACAATAAAGCCGATGACTTAATTGAGCTGTTTTAAATAAGGGAGATTAGAAAACGGTGTAGGGCCTAGTGGGCTTGAGGAATGACTCGTCGGCAACCTGTGGTTTTGGGGAAAAGTAACTGCCACCTATTGTTGAGATCACGCCTTTTGGATTTGTCGTACAAGAGCCTCTTTATGCTTGTGCAAAGCAACTGAGTAGAAAGCACAGTAATTTTTGCTTCCCCCCCACTGTCTTAGATGAAACTGCGTTTGGAAGTATCGTATCCAGAGGTTTTTTCTTTTAGTGTTAAGACTAAGTTGGCCAGAGCACCTGTCTTGGGAACAGCAGGTGCTAGGTTCAAATCCAAACTGCACCTTTCCCTCAGATTATGGGAGAGTGGCTTTCTGATCTGAAACTCTTTCAATGGCCGATAGCATATGTTTGTCCTGATTTCCATTTTCCGAGCTGACTCTGGGTTTGGATGACATGGTCAGGCTTGAGACATGATCATCCAGACTCTAAAGGACCGCGTCCGGCTTGTCAGCATTTTCTGCATCCTGACATGCTGGTTTTTGTTGTGTATTATTTTTCCTTCTTCGATTTTTGTTATCGGGCAAATGTCTCTTACTGTGAATTTCTGTGGCGCTGTGGCTTAGCTGGTCAAAGCGCCTGTCTTGTAAACAGGAGATCCTGGGCTCAAATCCAAGCAGCGCCTTAGTCCAGGTGGTGTGTGTGCTTGTTTTATAGAGCTCACCGGAATGAATTATAAAATTGTATAGCTTTGAGGCGTAATGAATAGTGCGACAAATAGAGTTAAACAACCTCTTTGCTTGCCATTTTAAGACTTGCTGTCTTTTTTTAGTCTCTGTGTGCAAAAACGTCTTGCCTCCTATTCAGCGTTGGCGCTGTGGCTTAGTTGGTCAAAGTGCCTGTCTAGTAAACAGGAGGTCCTGGGTTCAAATCCCAGCAGTGCCTTATGTACAGGTTTCGTGTTTGCTTTTGTTAAGAGTAACGAGTGTTTACGCAGCGGGATGTTTAGCAGTCGGTTTCTTAACAAAACTCAAATCCTTAAGAACGCTGCTTGCTCAAGAGGGCTTTGGACGATGCCTTTATATAGCATAGTGTGGTAATGCCTAACCAATTGGACTTTAATATTTCAAGTCCAGACATTCCCACATGCAGCGCTACCGTTGTTAGTTTTTTTTTTTTTTTTGGAATTAAACATTTAGCCAGTATCAAGGTCATTTGGCGCTGTGGCTTAGTTGGTCAAAGTGCCTGTCTAATAAACAGGAGATCCTGGCTTTGAATTCCAGCAGTGCCTTGTCTGCAGTTGGCTGTTCATTCATGGGCCAGAGAGTACTAAAAAGTGCTTTCTGTCCAACAGTTCTAGAGGAAGCAGAGCACTTAGGCTCTGTGGCGCAATGGATAGCGCATTGGACTTCTAGGTTGTGAGCTGAGCCATTTAAAGGTTGTGGGTTCGAGTCCCACCAGAGTCGCAAGCTTTACTCTTTTTCTTCACTGACTTAAGGTGTGGTGCGTTTCTAACATTTTAGGCATCTGTCCATCCCGTTTTGCTTCTTTCTTTCATTGCGCAGTGCAGGCTTAGATACTAGGGGTACTCTACAATAAAGCCGATGACTTAATTGAGCTGTTTTAAATAAGGGAGATTAGAAAACGGTGTAGGGCCTAGTGGGCTTGAGGAATGACTCGTCGGCAACCTGTGGTTTTGGGGAAAAGTAACTGCCACCTATTGTTGAGATCACGCCTTTTGGATTTGTCGTACAAGAGCCTCTTTATGCTTGTGCAAAGCAACTGAGTAGAAAGCACAGTAATTTTTGCTTCCCCCCCACTGTCTTAGATGAAACTGCGTTTGGAAGTATCGTATCCAGAGGTTTTTTCTTTTAGTGTTAAGACTAAGTTGGCCAGAGCACCTGTCTTGGGAACAGCAGGTGCTAGGTTCAAATCCAAACTGCACCTTTCCCTCAGATTATGGGAGAGTGGCTTTCTTTTTTTTTTTTTTTTTTTTTAACACTTTTATTGTTTCAGAAAGGTGTGATACATTCTTACTGTATTAGTAACCAAATACCAATCAAAGAACTCGCGCCCCATCCCGACGTTCAAAATAAAAATAAAAATTTTAAAAAAGAAAGGAACAGAATAAAAAAATGCATTCTCATGCGAGGAAAGTAATACAAAAACAAATAAATAGAAAATAAAGATTAACTAAAATAAACTTAAAGATAAAAATAAAAAGGGCAATTTTGTTAAAAATTAAAAATATATAAAAAAATAAATACCATTAAAAAATTGACATTTCAACATATACAGTCCAGTGAAATTATATTAAAGTTAGTCATTACAAACACAGTGTATTTTAACAGTCACATTGTTTGGGATTACTAAACAGTCAGTGCACTGTTATTTAAAAAATGAAGGAAGAAGTCCCAAATCTTGTAGAATATGTGCATTTTTTGTTTGATTGAATAAGTCAACCTTTCCATTGCTATACAGGAAGACATTTCCTTAATCCAGAGTGACAAAGATGGAGCATGAGTACTTTTCCAGTGAATGGCAATCAGGCACTTTGCATGTAATAGACACAGATTTATAAACTTCTGTTTATATGACTTCAGCGATAAGGCAGGTGGGAAAAGACCAAGGATACAGATTTTAGGGCAAAAAGGGATTTCTTAACCAATAGTTTTAGAGATTACACCAATTATTTCTTTCCAAAAGAATTGCAAGTGCTCACATTGCCAAACACAATGGAACAGTGTGCCCTTGTAAGTCAAACATTTTCCACAAATGTCCAGAATATTTCTATTAAATTTATTTAACATTTCTGGTGTTATATATGTTCTCATTACCCGATTATATTGGATTAATTTAAAACGGGTATTGATTGATAATGTTTGCGCTTGAAGACAACTTTCTTCCCATTCATTTTCTGTAATATCTATTTGAAAGTCTTCAATCCAAGCCAGTCTTTTATGATTTGTAGATTCTTTGGAAGCATTAACAAATTTGCTATATAGTGTAGAAATTTTGTATTTGGCACTGGGATCTTTAACTGCAATTTCTTCTAAACTACTTAGGGTCGGACACTGATATGAATGATTTTTAGATCTTATAAAATTACGGATCTGAAGATACTTAAAAATATATCTTTCCTTTAAGGTTTCAAAGGACATCAATATATTATCTTCATAAAGATCTGATATCTTTTGCAAGCCTTTCTGGAACCACAGCTTAAAACCCTTGTCTGATTTCCCTGGTACGAATAATGCATTACCCCAAATGGGAGAGAATTTAGAAAGTACCGGGGTTTCTCCCAGCTCAACCTGTGACTCATGCCATGATAAAATAGTGGCTCTCACAAATGGGTTAGATGTATTTTGTTTGAGTTTCTTTAAAGAATCAGAGTATAAATATGTGTCAAGACTCAAATTGCCTGTACATTTTCTTTCAATCTGTATCCATGGAATGCTAGGTGTCAAAATCTGTTTGCTAATTGCAATCACACATGAACATATTATTGCATCTAAAGACTTTACATTTTTGTGCTAAGCTATGATTTTGTAAAATGAACAGTGTATTAGTTCATGAAATATGGTTAATTTTTGTAAATTTATACAGTTATAAAAAACTTCCATGTTTTTCACAGAAAGATTCTGGCAACCACAGCTGCTGGTATTTTTTCGGAAATTTAACAGATATTTTACACAATAAGAGTTTGTTAATTAACACTCTCTTGGTGTTGACAATGTTAACACTTTCAAAAGTGTTATTTTTAACACTTATAGTGGTTCCCATATAAACTCTGAGGGAGTGTTAATTTTAACTCCAAGGTAGTTAAATCTACTATCTAAAATTTGCAGTGTAGCTTGCTCGGCCTGGCCATTGGTCTGTGGATTGTGCTCGTTAGAGGCTAGTAGTCGCCCCTAGCTGTCGGCAGAATTCTGCCCAAAACCTGGACACAAATTGCAGACCCCTGTCTAAAACCATGTCAACTAGGAGGCCAAGAATACGGAACATGTGGTCCCAGCCAATGGCTGCTGTCTCCCTCAATGAAGATTATTTGGGGAGTGAAATAAAGTAAGCTGCTTCAAAAATCTGCCCACTACAGTGAGGACTACTGTGTTGCCACGGAATGGTGGTAACCCAGTGACAAGCCAACAAAAACTGGCCAGTGTTCCACACCATTGAGAGCCGGCAGAACCATTAACCCCATTTCCACTATCGCACCTAAAGCAAGGGAGCCCAGGCCAGTCGCGTTTCCACTGTCCCTTCCAGGGCCTGATCAGGCCAAAGCTGGGCTTCATCAGGGCGAAATATAGGCTATAGCCTATTTTATTACTTGCTCTTATGTCCTGCTCTTACACATTATATTTTCTGATTTTCACTGGATGTCAACTCATTTTGCACAAGCACCAGAATTGATAACCACTGCTCTGAGGTACTCAAAATAACAAACTGTCATACTCAAAATAAATTGCGTACCTAAAGTTACTGCTTTACTTATATTATTCTTTACAATGTTTAAAACAGTTTGATAATTTAGTCAATTAATTTAACTGGAACAATAAAGTCTTCAGTTTTAGACAACTCGCGCACTGGTCCATCCCTTCTGAGAGAGCTCCATCTTGGTTTATGGTTGAACAAGGCATCCTACTCCCCCTTCCATCACTACAATGTCTATCTATCCCTCTATTTATTCATTTTTTTTGTAAACGTGTTTTTTAGGCTGATCTCAAAAGTATAATAATTTTACTGACAGAATTTTAGGTGTAGGCTAGGACGGTCTCTGCCATTTGCAGATAATGTTGTCCTTTTGGCTTCACAGGACATGGACCATTCAGCATGCAGAGGGACAATTTGCTGCAGAGTGTGACATGGCAGAGAAAGAAACAGTACCTTTAGTGTCACGGAATACAGGGAGACCCAATTGCAAGTAAAATAATTATTTATTGACTCAGACAGAATGACAGAAGGAAGAACGCAGGAAGATGATGAGTGAGTCAAGCGAGCAGCAGGAAATATAAATCGAACAGGGAGCACTGAAGAACAAGATCAGAGAGCCGCCAACAGAAAGGTACAAGAGTCCAAACACAGAGCTCTCCCCGCGACACACGACCAGAACTCAGCGACCGGAACCTGACAGGACACAGACAAACAGACGTGAAGAAAACGAACTGACACTGTGAGACAGAAACGCTGAACATATATAGGCGCGGTAATGCGCTGCACCTGTGGTCCACTGATTACAGCTGAGCGGTGCTGCGCACGGCAAGGCTGGTGACAGCGTACACGTGACCACCCAGCTGATAAGGTAAACACAACTGACAGCAACGCGACTCTAACACAGACACAGAGACACCCAACACACACACTCATACACGCATATACGTAAACGCATAACGCACCACACCGTACACACACACACATACACACACGCAGACACATCATAGAAGAACAGACAGATCCACAATCGTGACAATACCCTCTCTCCTAGGAACGCCTCCTGGCGTTCCCAGACGAGCATACCTGGCGATTGTAATCATCGATAAGAGAGTGATCCAGTATGTCCCCGGCCGGAACCCAACTTCTGTGCTCAGGACCGTAACCCTCCCAGTCCACCAAGTACTGGAATCCTCGTCCCCTCCGTCTAGAGTCCAGAATGCGCTTAACCGAATAAGCCGTCTCCCCATCTACGAGACGCGGCGGGGGGGGGACTGGTGTGTGCGGATTAATTGCCGTATGAAAAACGGGCTTTACTTTAGATACATGGAACACGGGATGAATTCTCCTGTACGCTGGAGGTAATTTGAGGCGGATTGCCACAGGACTAATGATTTTAGTGACAATAAATGGGCCAATAAATTTAGGAGCTAGCTTATTACAAACGGTGCGGAGCGGAATATTCTTAGTTGAAAGCCACACTTTTTGACCGACAACGTAAACGGGAGGCTTAGACCGGTGGCGATCGGCTTTAGCCTTGGTGCGCACACCCACTTGGAGGAGGGTCTGTCTGGCCCTGCTCCAAGTGCGGCGGCACCTCTGGACAAAGGCGTGAACGGAGGGGACCGCGACTTCAGATTCCAGACTGGGAAAAACTGGTGGCTGGTAACCTAGACTACACTGAAACGGAGAAAGGCCCGTGGCCGACACTGGTAACGAATTATGTGCGTACTCCACCCACGAAAGCTGCTGACTCCAGGAGGAGGGATTCTGTGAGACCAAACATCGCAATGTGCGCTCAAGATCCTGATTGGCTCTCTCGGTCTGACCGTTACTCTGGGGATGAAAGCCAGACGAAAGACTCACAGTAGCCCCCAATAAACGACAGAATTCCCTCCAAAATTTAGAGATAAACTGAGGCCCCCTGTCAGAAACCACGTCCGTCGGGAGGCCATGAATGCGAAAGACGTGATTAATGACAGCAACCGCTGTCTCTCTGGCTGACGGTAATTTGGGCAGAGGGACGAAATGAGCAGCCTTCGAGAACCGGTCCACTACGGTTAAAATCACCGTGTTGCCGTTGGAGGTAGGCAGCCCCGTAACGAAATCTAGCGAGATGTGGGACCAGGGTCTCGAAGGTACTGACAGCGGCTGAAGGAGTCCCGCGGGTGGCCGATTGGAAGTCTTGGAAACAGCACACACAGAGCAAGCCAATACAAAATCACGCACATCACGAGCCAATGCTGGCCACCAGAATCGTTGTTTAATAACAAATGATGTGCGACTCACCCCAGGATGACAGGCTACTTTGGAGGAATGTCCCCATCGAATAACATCTGACCGAAGTTTCTCTGGCACGAATAACCGACTCGGTGGGCATCCAATCGGGGGCGTTACCCCATCTAAGGCTGCGCGAACCTTCGACTCTATCTCCCATGTGATGTTAGAAATAACAATCCGCTTAGGCACTACGGGTTCGAGTGACGATGTACGCTCCGAAGAATCAAAAAGACGGGATAACGCGTCGGGCTTAATGTTCTTAGATCCCGGTCTATATGAGATGGTGAAATTGAACCGTCCGAAAAATAACGCCCACCGAGCCTGCCTAGAGTTTAATCTTTTGGCGGATTTGATGTACTCAAGATTCTTATGATCGGTCCAGACGATAAAAGGGACCCCCGACCCCTCTAACCAATGACGCCACTCCTCCAAAGCAAGCTTGACGGCCAACAGCTCTCGATTACCAATGTCGTAATTACTTTCTGCTGCTGATAACCGATGAGAATAATACGCGCACGGGTGGATCTTGCCATCCGAGGAGGAGCGCTGGGACAGGATAGCTCCGACCCCGACCTCTGACGCGTCGACCTCCACCACAAACTGCCGGGAGGGATCAGGGGTTATCAGGATTGGAGCTGAAACAAAACAGCCTTTCAGTTTTGAGAACGCAGCTTCGGCTGCGCTGGACCACCTGAACGGCGTTTTGGAGGAGGTCAAGGCGGTCAGAGGTGCGGCGAGCTGGCTGAAATTGCGAATAAATCGCCGGTAGAAATTGGCAAAGCCCAGAAACCTCTGCAGGGCCTTACGGGAATCAGGAGTTGGCCAATTTACCACAGCCTTAATCTTCTCTGGATCCATGCGCAACCCCTCGACTGACACGATATGCCCTAGAAAGGGAACAGACTGTGCATGAAAAACGCATTTCTCCGCCTTGACATAAAGACCATTCTCTAACAGCCTCTGAAGCACTCGCCTGACGTGCTGAACATGTTCCTGGAGAGAATGGGAAAATATCAGTATGTCATCCAGGTAAACATAAATGAACTGATCTATCATATCTCTCAGCACGTCATTGACGAATGCTTGGAAAACAGCCGGAGCGTTGGAAAGGCCGAAGGGCAGAACGCAGTACTCAAAATGCCCTCTGGGGGTGTTAAACGCTGATTTCCACTCATCCCCCGCTCTTATGCGAACCAAATGATAAGCATTGCGGAGATCTAATTTTGTAAAAAAGTTCGCCCCCTGCAGACGTTCAAAGGCTGAAGACATCAACGGCAAAGGGTATGTATTCTTGACCGTTATGTTGTTCAGCCCTCGATAATCAATGCACGGGCGAAGGGAACCATCCTTCTTTTTTACAAAAAAAAATCCCGCCCCCGCCGGTGAAGAAGAGGGGCGAATGATCTTGGCTGCTAGAGAATCAGAAATATATTTCTCCATGGCCTCCCTCTCTGGAGCAGAAAGCGAGTATAATTTGCCTTTAGGCGGAGACGTACCTGGCAATAAGTCTATTGCACAGTCATAGGGACGATGAGGAGGCAAAGAAGCAGCCCGGGACTTACTGAACACTCTCTTCAGGTCATGGTACTCACGGGGCACGTTTGACAGATCCATCTGCTCCTCCTGAAACACAGAACGAGAAACAGCAGAACAAGCAGACACTAGACAAGATTTATGACAGCTCTCACTCCAAGAAAGCACAGTATTATGTCCCCAATTAATGTGAGGTTTGTGCAAAACCAACCAGGGATGTCCCAAGATCACAGGAGTGGCAATAGTCTCTGTTAAAAAAAACTCAATAGTTTCGGAATGGTTACCAGAAGTAATGAGTCTTATAGGAGCAGTGGAGTGTGTGATGGTGGGGAGAGAAAGACCGCTAAGAGCGTGCACTGCGATAGGAAGAGAAAGGGGAACAACAGGGATTTTCAAACTGTACGCCAGCTTAGAGTCAATAAAATTCCCCTCGGCTCCGGAGTCGATGAGCGCATGACAGTGGTGCATGATAGAGTTAAAAGATAGATTGACTGGCAGCATGGTTGTGTTAGGGGACTTGTCAAGGGTGATTTCACCAGCCAGTAAACTCTTACCCGGCGACGAATTCTTATTCTTGGCTAGACACGAAGCCACAAAATGTCCAGCGACTCCACAGTACATGCATAGTCCTTCCATGCGGCGACGACGCCTCTCCTCCGTGGAAAGCCGAAATCTGCCCATCTGCATGGGTTCCGGCTCGAGATCAGATGAGGGGGGTTCAGAAGATGCAGCGAAAAAAGATTGCGTGGGAAGAGGTGGAGTGTGCAATTTCTTGTGGGAACCTCTCTGTTGTAACCGAGTGTCCACTCTGATGGCTAAATCAATAAGCCCATCCAGTGTCTTAGGCAGATCCATGACGTAGATTTCATCTTTAATATAATCTGCTAGTCCGTGCAAAAACATGTCCCACTGAGCTTCGGCATTCCATTTACATTCGGCCGCCAGAGTACGAAAGTCAATGGAATATTCAGCAACACTCAACTTATTCTGTCTGAGTTCAGCGAGCTTACGAGCCGCCTCTCTGCCAGAGACCGCTCGGTCAAACACAGTTTTTAACTCCTCTGAGAAAGCTTTAAAGGAGTTACAGCAGGGGAGTTTACGCTCCCAAACAGTGGTACCCCAAAGTGCCGCTTTACCTGTCAGCAAATTGATCGTAAACGCCACCTTACTCTCTTCGTTAGGGAAAGACGAAGGCTGTAGCGTGATGTAAAGTGAACACTTTGCTATAAATGACCGGCACAATTCTGGTTCGCCGGCGTAACATGCTGGTGGTGGAAGTCGCGGTTCAGTGGATCTGGGGGTCTCTTCTAGCGCATGAGCTGCTGGTGGAATGGTGGGAGGAGCTTGCTGGACAGCTTCAGCACGAAGCTCAGAACCCAGTCTCTGAACCTGAGTCGTGAGCTCAGAAACTTGAGTGACCAGCGCCTCAATGGCCTGGCCGGTCACTGCCATTTGTTTGTCCTGATGATCCAGTCGGGCTGAATTGTGGGCGAGGAAATCCTGGATTTTGGTGACACTTGCTGGGTCCATCTCAGTGGTCAGTTCGTTCTGTCACGGAATACAGGGAGACCCAATTGCAAGTAAAATAATTATTTATTGACTCAGACAGAATGACAGAAGGAAGAACGCAGGAAGATGATGAGTGAGTCAAGCGAGCAGCAGGAAATATAAATCGAACAGGGAGCACTGAAGAACAAGATCAGAGAGCCGCCAACAGAAAGGTACAAGAGTCCAAACACAGAGCTCTCCCCGCGACACACGACCAGAACTCAGCGACCGGAACCTGACAGGACACAGACAAACAGACGTGAAGAAAACGAACTGACACTGTGAGACAGAAACGCTGAACATATATAGGCGCGGTAATGCGCTGCACCTGTGGTCCACTGATTACAGCTGAGCGGTGCTGCGCACGGCAAGGCTGGTGACAGCGTACACGTGACCACCCAGCTGATAAGGTAAACACAACTGACAGCAACGCGACTCTAACACAGACACAGAGACACCCAACACACACACTCATACACGCATATACGTAAACGCATAACGCACCACACCGTACACACACACACATACACACACGCAGACACATCATAGAAGAACAGACAGATCCACAATCGTGACATTTAGATCAAAAACCACGGTGCTTGACTTGAAAAAGATGGCCATCTCCAGTTTGGAGGAGAGTCCTTACCCCAAATGGAGTTCAAGTATCTGCTTGTTTTTTTTTTTTTTTTCATGAGGAATGGAATGTGAAATTAAAAGATGGATCAGTGCAGCAGCAGCAGTAATGCAGTTGATGTGATTGTCTGTTGTGGTGAAGGAGCTGAGACGAAAGGCAATGTTCTCAATTTACCGCTCAATATAGGTTCCTACTCACACCTATGATCATGACTAAAAGGACAAGATCTTGGACACAA